CAATTCCTACCCAGATCTAAGTAACCAAGTAAAGCTACAATTAAAACTATTTTCTGAAACCCTATTGGTTTAGAAGTCTAAAACCCTTTCCTGCTTTGGTGAGTTGTTAAAATAGGTCATTATCATAACCCCTTGAGAGGTTTTATATCAAAGCTCTTAATTCATAGGCAAAAAACCAAAACTTTAAAAAGGTGATTTTTTTAAGTGGGAGAAAAATTTTAACAAATACCGCTGAATAAAAATATGTAGTCTTTACACTGGGTAATATATCCTCTATGAATATAAACTGTTTATAATTATATAAAATAAAGACCAGATTCTTTTAACCAGATCTTGGGCAGCTTAACCAAAAAGTATTAATTTGTGGTTCATTTCAGAATCCCAAACTGCATCTTTCTTTTTCTAATCAGTCCACTACAAATTTGTCTTAGATGCAATCAACCCAAAAAAACCTCAAAACCTTTACTCTAGCAGCTGCTGCCACAAAACTGGAACTTGACATCCCATGTCCAAGAAACATATGCAAATGAAATGCTTTCTTCACCCTTATTATCTAGAAACCCTGAAGTCCTATTTTCCTTTCGGATATGAGTTCAGGAATAGTTCAATATACCTATGGTGCACGTGGGACCGGTCCTCGAGCATCGCCGCCACAGCATCCTCGTGGCTGTCAAAGTGCATGTCAGCCTCGCCAGTGGCCTTGCCATCAGAGCTGTACTCCATGGTAATCCGCACAGGCTTCAGTGGCACAAAAAAATGTATGATGTCCTGCGCGTTGGCATGGAAAGGCAGGCCTCTCATTTGTACAACATGTGAGGAAGGTGTGGCTCCAAAATCAGCAGCCTCTGGAAACTTCTCTGGCACCTCCTTTGGAAAGTCTATCTCCTTCTCACTTTCAAAAGTTGTCACAGGTCCAATATCCTCATTTATTTCGTGTTCTTCAAAGACAACATCAGGCTCAGTCATATACTTGGAAGTAGGAGAAGATGCCATTTTCTTTCCCTTATGAGAGCCAACATGTGTTCGAACTTCAGTCCTTCTGCTTGGAAATATCTCTATGTACCGGTTCCCAATCTCCTCCCAGTGTTTCATCAGGGCCTGGCTGGCCATCTCTGGCTCTTCAAACTGCACATAGGCTTCCCCTGTTTTCCGTCTGCCCCTGTAGTCCATCACAAAAGTGATGTCCACTATATTCAGTCCTGCAAAGAAGTCTACAATGTCCTTCTCATTGCAGCTATATGGAAGTCCCCTCAGCCGAACCACACCATCATTCACTGGCAGGGAGGCTTTGACCTGCAGGCTCTTCATTAAGGCATCCACATCTTCACTGTTTATCTCATACACCTCCACGTACCGCTGGCCCATGTACATGGCGGTGCTTCTCCAGGGCCTTCTGCACGTCCTGCTCTAACTCCATCTCAATCAAGGCATCACCCCGGCGCTTCCCATCTCTGAGAAAAAGTTAAGTACATCTTCTACAGTACATAACCAGGGAAGCCCTTGAGCACGAATGAGGTACACATCATCCACTTCCTCCCCTAACTTAGATGGGGACAATTCATACTCCTGAAGTGGCGGGAGGTCTTCCAGGTAGGTGGTTTTAGACTCCTGGCTGTAGCCCCACGCTGGCCGCCAGCGACTGCAGCAGCAGCGGGGCGCGCAGGGCCGGGTAACAAGCAGCTGCGGCGGGCGCGGGTCCCGCCAGCCTCCCCTACTTTTTTTTTTTAAGACAAGGTCACACTATACAATTCAGGTTGGCCTTAAACTCACAAAGATCAGCAGCCTCTTAAATGCTGGGATTACAGGCCAGTGACAGCACACCCAACTTTTAAAATGCAATCGAAAACATTATGGTCAGATTGTTTATTAAAAAAAAGTTAAGCTACAGAAATGTGTACAAATCAAAAATGTGTTCTGAAAGGACCACACACATAATGTCAAAAATAGAACCTGAGGCTGGGGAGATAGCACAGTAGCATAAGTGGAGGGAGGGAGAGAGGGAAAGAGGGAAGGGACATAGGGAGAAAGGGAGAGGGGGAGGAGAGAGAGAGAGAGGCAGGCAGACAGGCAGAGAAACGGAACCTGTGAAGTCAATAAAAAGTTAACTTACGCATAGTCTAGATCATTCTAGAGTTATAAAAACATCCGGGGCAACATACATATCTCATTTTCTTTCAAACACCTTTTTTTAAATAAAAGTGATACACTGAGATGATATTAAAAACCATCTGACAATTATGAATGGTCCCTGGTTATACAAATGTGATGTCTGGTTATAAAAACTGAGAAGATTTAACTCTCTAGTGTTTTATGTTATACAGACAAGTTTGTGTAAAAATGATCTGGCAGCGCTGGGGGGATGGCTCAGTAGAATAAGTGCTTGCCTGGCAAGCACAAGGGCCTGAGTTCAATCCCTGATTCTGCCAAGAAAAGAAAGAAAGGAAGG